GACAACGAGGCAGCAAAGTACATTTTTTAACTTGCTTTCATTTTCATATCATTGCATCTGTTAAGGATTTCATTTGCAAGGTAAAAAGTTGAGTTCTCCTCTTCAAGAAGAACAATATATTTTATTTAAAAAAGTATGTTTCACAAAATGAAATCATTTGAGAAATACTTTATGCCTGTCAAAAAAGTGAGGCACATTTCATTCTGGTCTGGAGTCAGTAATCGTTGCATAATCATTTCATATTCATCAGCACCTCATGTGCAGGAGTTAATCACAGAACATCTCTTTGCTATGTGGAGAAGCTTTGCAACCCAACGGTGTTTTTTCATTTCTCTGCACTTATTCATACAGTTTTGTTTTTGTTTGTTTTCTGATATCTTCCTCTCATGCATGCTAGTCACACAAGAGACTGTCTAAAGTAAGCATCACTCTTTTCTGCTCTACTGTACCTCCACCCTGCCTGTGAGCCATCCCATTAGGCTCTGCTTCACCTGTCTGTGCTAAGTTAACATGCTAAGCAAACCCTGTGCGAAACTAGTAGCTAGCAATGCCAAGTTGAATGTTACGAATTGTCTGATAAACTGTGAAAAAAATGTAATCTTGACAACAATCTGTACCGATGCAGCATCACACCAAAGCAGTTTTCAGTTACCGATCCCATATAGAGACATTAACTCGTGTCGCAGAGGCAGAAAAACATATATATTAGTAAAACATCTCCCACCTGACCTCTTACTCTTGATGAACTTTCTCTCCAGTATGACAGATTAAACCTGATCAAAGTAAGAAATCAATATTTGTGCCCTTGAGTCCTGCCCCGTCCTGTGAGAAGAGTCCGCAGTAGAGAACTCTAGAGTCTCTTCTGTCTCCATTCTGCTGTTGTTTGGAGTCAGAGAAAGAGAGTTTTTGCTTTATATTTGTGTATATGTATCATGAAACTGTATCATAATCGCTGCTAAGACTCGTTTGAAGTAGTTGTGGTTTTGTAGATCAGTCCTCAATAAAATGTTTAATACGTTTTGCAACATTTGAAAGAAAAGCTTTGATTTAGTGTTAACACTGTCCCCTTGTGGTAGCTTTGTGTATGAGAAATGTGATACGATGAAATCCCATACACAAACAGAGCTTTCCCATAATCCCTTGTTTTATGGTATACTCAAATTAATTGCATGTATACCTGTGCTGATCAAACATTTTTGATAGATAGATAGATAGATAGATAGATAGATAGATAGATAGATAGATAGATAGATAGATAGATAGATAGATGTGGTGTGTGTATAATATGTATATGTCTATTATAAACGTTTGTATATTCCCTTAAACCCTCACTCTAATGTTTCTCTGTTCCTCTCTCGTTTCTTTCAACGTCAAAATCTGATTCTTCAAACTCACAGAAGAGTCAAAGCTGGTATAACGTAAGTCTATTTTTTATTCGTCATTATGTTTTGCTCATATGAGTGATTTTTGATACTGAATGTTGTGTGTTTGTATGATATTGGGGTCATTCTTTAGGAAATGGATGCTGTTTTTCTTTATTTAAATACTGTTTTGTTGCTCGTCCACAAGGCTTTATCAGTTGATGAGAATCGTGTGAATCTGGGAGCTTGTCGCCTCCCAGTGTTGTTTGAGTTCAACTGCTTTCACAGACATTTCATGTTGGAAATGATGATTACCTCTTTCTTCTGTAGGGCTGGATGTTTGACCTGACATTTCCCAGCATTTGTTTTCCTGTGGGAAAGAGTTGATTTTTTTTCTTTGGTTCAGCCAGCTCTTAATTATATTTTTCATCATTTTACAAGTGCCTTTGTGATGTTTTGTCAATGTGTTATGGTCGGTCATAACCTCTGGGCCATCTCGATGAAAGTGCACTGCAGAACGGCAGAACAGTGACTGTAGTGTTCTTTCTCTCAAGTAAATAGCGTTTCTGTTTCTGTCATGGATCGGGCTGTATACAGTGGGTACGGAAAGTATTCAGACCCCCTTAAATTTTTCTCTCTTTTTTATATTGCAGCCATTTGCTAAAATCATTTAAGTTAATTTTTTTTCCTCATTAATGTACACACAGCACCCCATATTGACAGAAAAACACAGAATTGTTGACATTTTTGCAGATTTATTAAAAAAGAAAAACTGAAATATCACATGGTCCTAAGTATTCAGACCCTTTGCTCAGTATTTAGTAGAAGCACCCTTTTGATCTAATACAGCCATGAGTCTTTTTGGGAAAGATGCAACAAGTTTTTCACACCTGGATTTGGGGATCCTCTGCCATTCCTCCTTGCAGATCCTCTCCAGTTCTGTCAGGTTGGATGGTAAACGTTGGTGGACAGCCATTTTTAGGTCTCTCCAGAGATGCTGTGTGTAATGTACACCACCTGTGCTGTGTGTACATTAATGAGGAAAAAAAATTTACTTAAATGATTTTAGCAAATGGCTGCAATATAACAAAGAGTGAAAAATTTAAGGGGGTCTGAATACTTTCCGTACCCACTGTATGCATAGTATAGCTCAGATAATGTGGATCTGGAGGAATTCGATGAAAAACATTTCAGTTCATATGAGACTTTGAGGTCTCTCCTGAAACTCATGTAGATTACTGAAAAATCTGAGAAGCAGGAAACTTAAGAGAAATTCTCATATGTGACCCTGGACCACAAAAGCAGTCTTAAGTCGCTGGGGTATATTTGTAGCAATAGCCAAAAATACATTGTATGGGTCAAAATGATTGATTTTTCTTTTATGCCAAAAATTATTAGGATATTAAGTAAAGATCATGTTCCATGAAGATATTTTGTAAATTTCCTACTGTAAATATATTAAAACGTAATTTTTGATTAGTAATATGCTTTGCTAAGAACTTCATTTGGACAACTTTAAAGGCGATTTTCTTAGTATTTTGGTTTTTTTGCACCCTCAGATTCCAGATTTTCATCTTGGAAAACCATACATCAATGGAAAGCTTATTTATTCAGCTTTCAGATGATGTATAAATCTCAATTTCGAAAAATAGACCCTTATTACTGGTTTTGTGGTCCAGGGTCACATATTGTCTACATATTATCCCTAAATTTTATATTTACATTAATATTACATCCCACCCCCCAAAATCACTTTAAAAGCAAAACTGAATGTTTATATAATGCATATATATTTTTTTATATTATATTACATTATTGTTTTATTTAATGTATTTTCATTGCCTGAATTCCACTGATAAAATAAAGTGAAAACATACATTTTCAGTTTGAAGCAAATGATCTGCACTTGGCTCAAAAATGTAAGGCGGTTCCAAGGGCAGTCTGAATGGGCATGAAGCTTCTGCATGTCTCCATAAACAGAAGAAAACATAATGTGTGGACACCAGCATCTGTGTGCAGATAACTGTGCCTGTTTATAAAGATCAGCAGGAAACAAAGATGCTGGGACTCTCTCCAAGTGTGAGCTTATCAGAAAATATTAAACTTTGCTCGTTTTTGTTTTTCCTGGGTGGACAGACAACCACAAGCTGTAAGATGTCAGCTGTAAACACTCTTCAGATGTCCATTCCAGTAGGGCGTAAGTGAAGAAAATGCATTTTCACCACAGGACTGTAAATAATCACATCCCGTGTGGTCACGAGGAGGGGTCAAGTCATTTTTATTTGTATTTTTGAATACAAACCCTGAGTTAACAAGCAAAGAGCAACTGTGGCAGGGGGGAAAAAAACCACGTTAAGCCAGCAGAAGGAAGACCTTGAGAATAACCAGACTCATCTCCAACGAAATTCCATTACTTTGCTCATATTTGACACTGGGCATCAAGTGACAAGCCGACATAGTACCAAAATTGTTCAAATAAGGGACTTTCTTAGCGCTTTCCAAAACAAATGCTATGAGATGGTTCTACCGAGTGTCTTGCTCCTGAGCTGAACAATGAGTCTGCCTCAGTAGTGGCCTCAGATGTTTTGCTTGAGAGGGGATTGGCGGAGAGGCCAGAAACAGAGATGATTCACCCATTTGGCATCCCCTCAACGTCCCCCTTCCTCCAGCGCAGGAAGTTAACTAGAGTTCGTTCACCCCGTGAGAGTGCGAGCATGGAGAGAAGGAAGACTGAGGCGTTGTCCTTGGCCGTGCCTCAACACTAACACCATAAAATGACTTGTGCACAATGGGGGCCTCTGTGATTCTCTCTCAACCATTCTTTATCTCTCCATCCTATATTTTTCTCCAACTCCCACTGTTTTGATCTCTTACTCCCACCTCATGAAACAAAAAACCCCTCTGCTTTGCATGGGTGTCGCAATGAATTGAAAACATTTGTGGAAGCTGAAGTGTCTTGTTCAGACATTAAACCCCTCAGGGTCTTCAGGAAACTGACAACAGCAGCTATCGCTGCAGTATAAATGGTGTTTTTGCAACATTTCTGGAGAGACATGAAATCTAGGTTGACCTGGGATTGGGAGGGGTGTAATGACAGTCCTAGGAGAAGCATATAAATCTCACAGCTCTTCGATCATGAGTGAGAAAAATGTACAGCCTGAAGCAATGAGCTTACTACATCTGACACGGCCCCTCCTCTCTCCTCTCTTTGGCATTCTATTGGCCAGCAGGCTTTCTTAGCTCCTCCCCCTCCCTGTTTCTCACACACAAACATTCCCTCAGGCCACTCCCACTCCTCTTGGCAGAATTGTTTTGTAGAAAGTCTCAGTAGAACTCTTTCCTGCCATAGTAAAGGGTTGCTTCAGCTCAACTTGGTTATTCTGTGAAATTTATTGAGACAAAATTCACATCCTCTGGGAAGAAATTTACTCAAAAGCGACTGATGAATGCATCTTGGCTTGCAAGGATATTAATGTGTGTCATTTTGACTATGCATGCTGAAGAAAGAATTTTGAAAGAAAAAATACAGTATTTTTGTCTGAAGAGAAGAGAGTTTTTTTTCCCAACAGGTGGTTGTTTTTTGGGGGTTCCTCAAGCAACTTTTCTGTTTTTGGATTTGTGTAAATAGATGTTTGCCTCTGGATATTTTTAGGACAACAGTCTCACAGTTTTGTTTTTCTTGCCAGAATTTATTTTTTCTCGCCAAACATGCAAATGTTCCTATTAGATAACCATATTTGAAAACTTTTATGAACCATTTGGATCCGAAACATTGTAAAGTGGCAACGTTCCTGTTATTGGCTGGATCTGAAACGGCTTCTTGTATTTTGTAAATTTAGTGGATCAGCAGGAGTAAACTCTAAAACAAGAAGAGAGCAGCTGCAAGGAACATTTCCATTTCGAGAGCATCGGGTGATCGATTCCAAGGAACGAACATTGCTACATGTTACCACTAACTGCCCTCTGTGTCTTGTTAAAAATGTGACTCTTTTCCTGAGGAAAACATACTCCATTTTCATTGTCAAGTGCGATGTGTGTCTCTCAATGTGAGGAGTTCTCCTGCTGTCTGTAGAGGATTGTTTGGCTGGTGTTGAGGTGCTGAGACTCACTTAAACAACAGAATAAGTAATGCTAATAAGTTGCTGAGGTTACTCCAGGTCATTTCAGAGTGTGGCCTGGTGAAGCTGGACTGGAGGTCAGCACATATGCTGTGAAGCTTTGCACCACTGTCAGGAGCTGAAACAATAAGTGGCAAAGTCTCCACAACTGGACAAGAGCGATGGAAATCCTTAGTTTTGAGGCGGAGACTGATTGGCTGTACGACTGGGAGGCAGTCCAACAGCCCGAAGTGCCCCCGTGTGATTGGACGGACTGGGACTTAGATTTCGAGAGCGTTCCTGCTGTAAGCAACTAATCAGAGAGCAGAAGAGAAGCGTCCTTTTGCTTGGCTTTGGTTATGTTAGATCATGAACATCTCACAAACTGTTACAGTCAGGACAGGACTGCAGAGGGACTGATGTACTGATCAGTACCTTGGTGTAGATGATGAAGCCCAGTAAAAATATATTTATTCATATT